GTCAAATCAAGTCTCTTAAGATTGTGAAGAAATCTGGAGATCCAAATGGATGCTGGTTCAAGGACCCTTCTGAAGGATCAAATAAGGTATTTAATATCTGAAAAATACAGTGACTATCACTGTGTGTAATTATGGGGCTGCTAATGCATCAGTTTTCTTATCCAGTTACAATCAAAATATGCTGTGCTTAGTAATGTTATCCCTACTCATCTAAGTTTTCAGTGACTTCTTTGTTGATATTAATATCACAAAAGATTATATTTTCCTGATATAATGACATCAAATTTTCACATAATCTCATCAGAGACAAATAAAATTCCAAAATATTACAAGTTTTGATCAAGGGTTTCTACGCAAGAATTGAATTAAGCTACTTCAATATCATGGTGAGCATAAAAATGCAATGAAAGTGATTTCTTATTATTTTATTATTTTGTTATTATTATAACCACACTTTGTTGAATGTTGTATCTATGTCTATCCATTCATCGGTACATCCATCTGTCAGCAAGTCCATGCACCTTTCCTTCCATCTATCCATCCATCCTTCCTTCCATCTTCCTTCCATCCATCCATCCATCCATCCATCCATCCATCCATCCATCCATCCATCCATCCATCCATCCATCCATCCATCCATGCTTCCATATAGTTTGTCCCATACTTACAAAAGCCTTAATCACTGTACTTTACATACATTTGGGGATTTGAAACTCTCAGACTAGAAAGATGTGGAAATTTGTCATAAGAAATGTGTAAATTTCCCTGCTAATCTGTAATTTTTAAATGTTATATATTCTATGTGTATGTTACAAGTTAGCCTTATCAGATTCTCTGTTTATGGCTCATATTAAGAACCAGGTGGGGAATCTTTGGGGGTGTGGCTGCCTTTAAAGTCAAAAATATCCCCAACTAATTAGGTGTGAAATAGTATTGTCTTTATTCACCAATAAGCAGGCTCGGTTTTGCATCACTGAAAAAAAAAAAACATTTATCGTTATCCTTACATGTTATTTATTTTATTTTATTTTTTTTCCTTTTCTCTTCCAGGTGTACTTATTCAGTGGATTTCGTAACAACACCATTCTGGAGTACAAATCTCTGAAGAGCTTCACAAAGACTTCCACACCTCCAGCAAATGAGGTGCAGCTGCCATTTCACTGGCAGGGCACGGGTCACGTGATCTACAATGGATTCCTGTATTGCCACAAGGCAGATACACCCAATGAAATACTGAAGGTTTGTCACTGAAAGTTTTTGTCAAAGTGCAGTTCTCTATTGAGCTACGTCAAGCAAAGAAAGAAAACAACAGAATAGAGAGGAACTGCAAGTTCATGTTCTGTTGTTGGTGTTATAAAGAACAGTCTCTGACTGCATAGTTTATCACCCTGAACAGGATTTCACACAGATAATCTGTTGAACTCATGGCAGCTGTTGGCCTTCAGTCTGGTCATTTTAAGGAATTGTCGACGTCAGGAAAAGAGTTCTGTGCTCTTTTCTTTGTCCCGCTGTGTTAGCTGAGGACACAGAGAACACAGTGCCAAAAGAAACAAGTTTGTTCCAATGATGCTAATTTTCCCAGGAAACTCTGAGTTTTTATGGGCATCTGTACAACCAGTTCACACCAAAAAATGCATAAATACCTTTTTTTTTTTTTTTTTTTTAGATTTGGGGTTCAATTGTCTTTGTTTCTTGCTCAAACGTGAGGTTATGGTGCATGAAACATGCAATGGACAGATGAACTGAGCCCTTCTCTGTATTAATGCTAGGACTGTTCTATAATAAAGAAACTAAAACTTAAAAAAAATAGCTTCCAACTTATATTTACATTCCGATTCTCATCTGTAATTAAGAAATCTGGATCACAACTAAGAATCACATTCCAGAGAGAAGCAGCTAAAAGATTTTCCTTTGTAGGGTTTCTAGAATTTGCTGTGGGCAATAACAGCCTTTAATTAAGCTGAATTTCGATCGACTCCATTTTGAGGTTTTCATGACAGGATCCACTAGGACGAGGGCAAAGGGTACCAGATGAGCTATACATTCCTTTTGACTTGGGAACACCAAAGAATCATTATGCTGAAAAGCATAATAGGAACGTTTGGATTCTACTTTCGGACCCGTTACTTCTGTGACCTTGCATAAGACAGTGAATGGATAGATGATCTGTTCCAAACAAGAAAAACTCAGGCTCCATTTTCTTCGTTGATGAACACAGTTTGCATTCTTTAAATTATTTCTCATCACATTTAAAGGTGGATCTTCTGAATGGCACTGTGGTGGATAGCACCCTTCTTCCTGGAGCCGGACGTCTTCCCGTCTACAGCCTCAATCCCAACACTTACCTGGACATGGCTGTAGACGAGCTTGGCCTCTGGGTTATCCATGCGGATGTTGAGTACGGAGGAAACCTGGTCATCACCAAGCTAGACAAAGGTGTGACAACCTTCTACTGTAGAATTATTATTTTTTTACTTAATTAATTAATGATAGGGCTGTGTTGCACTCAAATAAAAACTAGCAAATAACTTCAGTTAATGTTTAAACAAACTGTAATAAAACCTTTTATCAATAAACCTCTAAATTTTAATTAATATTCAGTTTATTATATTCGATTGACAAGAAAACCTCATCTAACAAGACAATAAGGTTGAGCTCATATTCAGTAAGCTAAAGCGTGGATAAAAACAATATGTCAATCAATGGCTCTGTCCAGAAAAAAGTATACCAGGACCACTTGACGTTGGAGACAATGCTAAAGAGTAGTTAATTTGGAACAAACGGGGTTATGTTTTCCACCATTAAACATTCTCCGTTATTATTATTGATCATAGAAAGAAACGTAAAATGACCACCACTCACATTCAGTCAGTAGCTGCTATCAAGGCTTGGCTCACGCTGAGAGAATAATCATGACAAAGTTGAGGGACAGTCCACAGTTACATGTGGAGAGATTGTTAATAATGGATTAAAATCTTGCATTCAAAAGACTTAAGAAAGCTTCCAGTTTCTTAACATCAGGCTTAAGAATTAAGAGTCTCTTCTTAATTAATGAATAATTATTTTCCCCACAATTTATTTTGGTGCATAAAATCTTTGTATAGAGCATAACAAAATCTTTGTTTCAGTTGTACCCTGAACAAGTTTGCTATTGCTTTTATACATGTACTTTCTGCTAACAAAAATAGGAAGACTACAGCTTGCATGCTTTGTGCAGGTCCACCTTGTAATCTGTCCCAACCATTTAACAAATGTAATTGTTGGGGGGTGGAGAAAGCACGGGTTTGTCCAGGTTGACACTCAGGCACGAACTGCCAATAACCGATGGATACCATTTTAACAAATGTTGTTGTTTTCACCAGTAAGTTTAGCAGTGGAATACACCTGGGACACACAGTGCAGAAGCAGTGATGCTGAGGGGGCTTTCCTGATATGTGGGACGCTTTACGTGGTCTACAACACGCGCTATGGAGGTCGCTCCACCGTCCAGTGTCTGTACGACATCCATGACACCATTCACAGGTTAGTGTACAACGCAGTCTGAGTGTGCAGCCATAAAGGTCAGGTTTACCAACGACGCACAGTAAAATCATAAACTGCAGTTTGACACATTTTAAATGGATGTGCTTAAATGTTTTATGTTTTCTATGTTGTGTCCATGCAGCAATGAGAGTCCAGTGATGTTCTTCCCAAAGCGCTACACCAGCCACAGCAGCATCCACTATCACCCAGGAGATAAACAGCTGTATGCCTGGGATGATGGCTACCAGACAATATACAAAGTGGAAACACGCAGCAATGCCCAAGTTACATCCCAGTGAAACATGTTTTCTTTTCACTCTTTACTCAGCATCAAAACCTGCATTAACACATCTAACATGCCAAATAGACCTATCCCCCACCCCCCTAAAACAATTACAGTGAAAGCATCAAGGAATTTGATGGATCTCATCAAATGTTACTTCATTCATCCTTTGCTGGCAATGGTTGTGTTCTTTAGTAGTCATGGTTATCATTGTTTCATACAAAGCGTAGTGTTTGTGTCAGAGCAATAAAGATAACGTAAGTTGTGTGCATTTTGGCTGGGTGAACATAATTTTAGATGACTTTGGAATGATACTGTTTAATTCATGTTAGATAGGATACTTTCTATCTATCTATCTATCTATCTATCTATCTATCTATCTATCTATCTATCTATCTATCTATCTATCTATCTATCTATCTATCTATCTATCTATCCAACAAAGCTTGCTCTGCTTGTATTAAAAATGAAAGTGGGCTTCCATCTTCTAAAGAGAGGGGAGTGGGTGGGTAGGGAATCAGTCCAGCTGAATGTGGTCTGCTTTGGTTTGTGATATCTATACATAAAAGCTTCTTTCTGAAAATTAATACTATTTAATTCATTCGCATTTCCAGATATCGACGCAAATAAATATTAAAGCACACCGTGGCTACCTCCTCCCCCCCCCAATTTAATTTAAATTTTCGACTTTTAAAACCTCTTTAATTTGGCTTTCCTCGACCTCATCAAGAATAAACAACAACACTGCATAAATAATTTATCATAAAGTTCGCCAATGACACCTTTTTGGCATCTTGTGACTTGGTCCGGGTCCGCATCATTTTCCAGCCGGCTTGGATAGCGGCGGAGAAGGAGACTCGTATTACGGTCTGCCATGCTCGTACAGCGCGTTTTATTAAACTATCGACGTGCTTTGACTGTACTTTTTATGCTCAAGATAGCAACTCTTCCCTCGCTTCTTGTCATCACTTTTTTTTAGCCCGGTCATTTCACAGGCTGAACGGTAGGTAAAGAGTTAAACAAAAAGAAGAACGAAAGTCTTTATCCCGGGTATTTTCATTTCACAAAGAACCAGATGTGTTAAAATATTTTAAACTATTCCTAAACTACATTTACTATTCTAAGTAAATTATAGCCCATAATCGGAATTATTTTGCCAATGTTATGGTGTAAGAAAATAATCCAGTGACGCTTCGTGACGTAGGATTAGGGGCGTTCTCAAATTTGAATTTCGTTGAGCTTGACAGTAGTTGAACAAAGCGAGTCGTTTAGGAATTTCCTTAATCACGCTATTTTATCAAAACTTAGTAGATTGAAAAAAGAGAGTGAAAAAATGAGAAGAAGAAGCAGCAGTAGCGCCAGCTGGAGAAACCCAACAGATAAAAGGCGCAGTGAGAGTGAACGTTTTGATGAATTCGGCTTTGCTTTCACCAACAGAAGGGAGCAAAAACTTCACCACAGATGTCACGATTACAGGTGCGACACATGTTTGACCTAATTAATGCTGGTTTAGTTCCGTGAAATTAATACAATCTAAACTTGTCATTTAAGGCTAAAGATATGGTTTTCATTTGGTGGTGTAAAAAGTCGTTTCAGTCTGATTAAATACCAGATTAAGTTCAATATTACTTATTAGCAGACCTTTTTTTTTAAAAAAAAAAAAGAGACTTAATAGAACCTGTGACCACATGAAGTAAGCAGAAAAATTCTCACAAAATAGTGCATTTTGACCTGAGCTAAAGTAATTTAAGAGCAGATGAGAAGTCACTGACATTTTTAGGACTGGAAATTGTTACACATCCCTTCCTGAGATTTTGGAACTAGCAAAGCTCTGTGAGAGTCACTATCCAATAATGGATAAATATGGATTGCGGTGGGGTGACTGGCCTATCAAAATTACTCCGAGAGTTAATTTTAACTCATCCAGGAAGTCATGAACCAGAAGACCATCCAAAGCAAAGCAGGCCTTGCATGATTTAATGAAATGGTTCATGATTCCACAAAAAAGAGAGACTGTGAACAATCTATACAATAATTCCAGGTCCTTTTCAACCACACTCAGTGGTGGAGGCTTTGTCCAGAATTAGATTCTCAGGATGTAATGACCTTTTACAAAAGTACCATTGTTCTGCTGTATCGTAATACTAACACAAAAATTCAAAACATTCAGCATCCAGTTATTGCCCCAGCTGGCAGAACTAACTACTGAAAGCCTGAAATGACCACTGAAAGTCAACTGACTATATTAAGTAGTCAGCAGAACTGGGACCTGAACTTGTTGAAAAACCTTCATGTACGATGAAGCTGAAGAGTTTCCCTTTGGGGAGGGACGTTTGGGTTTTCCTCGTGGACCTTCTAACTCCATGACCTATAATTTCCAATAACAGGAGAACGGTGAAAACACGACTGGCTATATTGCTGTGTGTGAACGACATTGAAGGTTATTCCATAAATGTTTTCTGTCAGCTACCCCCAGCTGAGCTCGGTGAGGGTGAAGGAGCTCTGTGAACTGCTCAGCTACTGGAATGGAGCCAGCTTCATCTGCAAGAGTCAGGTTAGACCTTTGTAAGAAACAAAGAGTGAAAACATGTTCCTTACTGTCTAAGCCTGTTTGTTCTTCAACTTATTGTTTTCAGATTGAACGCTTTATCCGGATGGGCATTCCTCCAAGTTTGCGAGGGAGAATGTGGAAGTGCCTTCTGAACGTTGACGGTGTGAGAGAATGTAGTGACTTCAACTACCAGGTAAATTACAGATTCTCTGTTTTTCCATGATATTTATGTTTAGTGTGTGTGTGTGTTTTGTCTCTTTTTTACAGTTTGTCTTTACAACACATCATTAACTTATTAATCTCAAAACAGTTCTTTTATTCTTCAACAGATGAAACATTATACATTTTCTTATAAGAAAAGTTTATACTTTTTTTTTTGTTGTTGTTTTTTCCCCTAAACAGACACGTTTGTCGGAAGTTCGAGGGCCCCTTGTGGATTTGGGCGTCAGTGAATATGGCATTTTGTCTGCGATCGCCACACTGAGTGACACTCAGAATGATCTGCGTTTGAACCAGCGACAGCTCTCAGGCTCAAATTGCTACTCTATCGATGACATAAATCTGTTCAGACAGATCGCCCTTGACCTACGTGAGTTCGTATGGAAACACGCATTTAAAGCCTTACTCCATTCCTGACAGGCTACAGCAGTGCTGTGAAAAAGCATTTAAAGACCTCTTCTGTTTGTGTTAGATACATTTGTTTTATATGATTAAACAAATGCCAACATGAGACAAAGATAGCCTGAGTACATAACAAAAAAGCAGATTTTGTTTTGATGTAAAAAAAAAAAAAAAAGTCGACCAAACCAAGTTTTCTCAAAGAGAAAATAGAAATGCCACATAAGCAGCTTTCTGTGCTCCACTTTCCAGTAACAGCTGTTCATCATTGTGTGTGGCCCACTCTTCTTTCCCAAGTTGTTTTAATTCAGACAATCCCAGTTGGATTTCTAAGGGATGACGTGTAGCTTTGATATCTTGTGGCCTTTTGGATTTTATGATTCCACAGGTCTGGCAGTGATCAGTCCTGGGTGTGGATGGTGAAACTGAACTCGGCTTTCCAGATTTTTTTTTTCTCTCTCTTTTTCAGTTAATTTTTAATTAAAAAATTTGACTGTTAAAATTTGTACATAGTGATTGGTTGTTTCAGACAGCTTTTGTATTTATTTAAGCTATCTTTGATATTGAAATTTGTCTCATCTCAAACATTCAAATATGACAAAAAAAATGCAGCAGTAGATATCACTAAGGCTGCAAAAACTTCATCGGAGCACTACTGATTTTTATTTTTCTCCATTTTACCAGTTTTTTCAAGATATATGTGAAGGGGTAAAAAAATATAAGCGACCTTTGTCTTTAGGTTCATTTACTTCCAATCATATGATTTTAATCCATAATTTTTCCACCATACATGCCACACTACTTCTCTGTAATCATTTGTTTTATATGCATTACAAAGTGTTAAGGTAAGACATTACATTTTCTAATGATTTAGGCTGAGTAGAAGAAATTCATGTTTATTGTGCGTCATCTCATCTGACCACAGAGCGATCCTTTCCAACCCACCGGTCCCTGATGGGACAGAGCTCAGAGGCCATCGAGGGTCAGGCTAAACTCTTCAGGGTCCTCGTTGCTTATGCAAAATACAATCCACAAGCTGGTTACAGCCAAGGTACCGTTTTCTCATAACTGCACACCTCTGCCTTTCTCTCTGTTCCTGACTTGTCCTCTTGGCTTAAAAACCTTACTATGCAAACTTTGTCATTATGCAAAGTCATTGTCTGCAGGTAGACCTCACTGACTTTAAAGGAGAGTTCATATATTTACAAGTATCTCATTGTATACGTTTACTTGTTTTTTGCATTTCCCTGAGGTGACACAGCTGTGTCTATATTTTTTGTTCATTTACATCCTGTAATAAGAATATGCAGCATTGCATTTGAAATAAAGCAAGTCTATTATTTCTATTACTTACACTTGTATTTTAGCACTGAAAGAAAGCTTCAAAGTGAAGCCAAGTTTAAACCATCAAAGTATCCCACGTTTTCCAACAGTGTTTACAAATCTCGGGAGTTTTCAGAAGAGGTGACTGCAATACACATTATGACCAGAAGATGGTAGTAGGGGACAATAATTATGTAGTTTGATAGTTTTATTTTATTTCCCCCCCATCCTGAAGGAGTTCCAATAAATGTGGAGGGCAATGTATTAAATATGCTTTACTTTAAAAATAAATGAATAAAAAAAATAAGCCGATACAGATTAAAATTTGCGAATGAGGTTCTGTTCTGACATTTCTGCTCTAGTTTAGTCTAAATAATAGAAGTACTTATAATTTTGGTGATAATAAACAATAAGAAATAAAATAAATATTTTTCTTCTGAAGAATTTGCCTTTCATTACATGCAAACCAAAGAAGTAAAAGAAATCTAAATAAATATAAAAGCCTTGCTAAATCTCGTCTTTCATTTCATTAAAACTGTTATATAAAATATAATTTGACCCAATAAATGGGCTAGATGAGAAAAGTAAAAATGTTTTTGTTACCTCTGTAGGATCAGTAAGGAAACATTTATTTATTGTTGTTGCTCTGCTAGACACAACCGCTATAAAAGTATTTCAAGCACAATATTTCCATTGAATCTAATTTGTACTTTGTCATCCAGAAAAAAAAAACATACTGTGTGTGCTTTCTTGCTTGTTTCACAGGGATGTCCTACATAGCTGCTGTGCTGCTGATGCAGCTGGGAGAGGAGGAGGCTTTCTGGGCTCTGACAGCCTTGTTGGATAAATCCAAATATCTGGCTGAGCTGTTTGACCTCAGTCTCACAAAGTAAGAACTGAGTTCGAAGGTGCACAACACGTCTTTGGAAAAATTACTTTGCAGTTTTCTGAGAAATCCATGAAATTTGCCTGGAAAAGTATTTACTCTTCAAGTACTTAGCATTTATTTCTGATTTTTGAATCCAATCGGTCTTAAGATTTCTTTAAAACTTTGATCTAAATGAGCTTAAGGATGTTGATATTATCCACCGCTTTCTGGTTCTGAATCTGTTCATCGTAAAATGAACTTTACAATATGTAGCAAAAAGCATCAGAGTAGTGATGCTTTTTGTGTAGATTTACATACAAGAGACAGATGATGAAAGCATTTCATTTATGCACTCTCTTTTCAGTGTATGTTTAAATTCGTTTCCTGAAACTGCGTTCAAAATCCTCTGTCTCTCTCTATTCCACTACAGTCAAACTAAACCGACATTTTTATTCTTCTTCTAATCAGAGTCCAACATCAGGTGAAGGTCTTTGATCAGTTCCTCAAACACCGGAAGGCTCGGCTCTCCAAGCACTTGGTGAGAAACAAAGGGCCTTTGGCTTTACTTGCCAACAACGTAGCGTTTATAGGCTTAGATTTTTTTTTTTTTTTTTTTTTTTTCCATACTTAAGAAAATCCTCAGTTTTGATCTAAACAGCAGTGATAAAAAAAACTTTACTGCACTCATGACATTCTTACAAAGTGTTCTTCTCTATCATGTGTTTATGTTTTTTTTTTTTTCACTCTTGTACTCTCTGTCCTTAAGGATTTTTTTTCCCCCCTAAGGAAACTTGGGGGGGAAAAAAAAACCCCAAAAAAAAAACCTGCTAGTACTGTTAATAAAAAAAATGAACAGATTATTACTTGAGCGATCATTCAGAAGTTTTGAGTTTCATCATCTCAATATTGCTTTGCAATTGTAATAGAGGAGGTAGCACAATAAAAATACTGTCAGGTAAAATGGCATGCGTTCCGTAATCGAAGCACTGAGTCAAAATACGGAGTTATAGTTTTAAACCATCCATTAGAATTACAAAGCTATAGCCAGCATGCTTGTCCACAGGCTTGCCGCTGGAACAAATGAGACATTTAACTAACAAACCCTGGCTTATTAGCTCCTACTTTAGTGATTTGGGTTTTACTATATTCTTACAGAAGTCTACATCTCAAAATACCAATAACTAAATTTTACAGATTCCATTATAATAACTTATATTATTTTCTCTCAAACAGTATGAGTGTTTGCTTTTCAGTTTAAAAATAAATTACATTTTTTTTTTTTTTTTTTGCTTAAAATATATGTGTAAGCATTGCAAGACCATTGTATTTTTGCTGAAACTCTTGTCCTGCCCCATGCCTGGCCACTCTTTTGGGGAAAGCAAATAAATGGGGAGTAAACTCAGGTTGTTCTGTTTACTGTGGACTTCGGAGGCTCTGAAAAGAGAGAAATATTCAGCACACTGTCGAGTCCATGTCATAGTCAAGTAATGAGTAAGTCCTTTGCTTAGGGACCTGTGTAATGAATCCATCATCAGCTGGGCCTCCTCTGCCATCCTCTATTGGCTTTAGGCTTATCATTGTTGTTGATGCAGTTCTACATTGAGCAGATTCCTGGGATGTCACTTTCCTGCCGTACAAAAACGTGTACGGCACCAAATGAATGTACCAAACCTTTCATTTGGTGCATTTAGTCTTCTGGTTTGATGCAGGTTGGGAAGCATACCACCACAGATAATTTGTATCCCTGCATGTTTTTCCAAATGGATTTGATGCAACTTTTACACACATCAGTTAAAAGGTGAAATAAGTTACTTTCTAGTAATGTTAAGCAAAAGGTTGCAAAAAGGAAAACTGTTTCGCAGCAGCCCTGTAAAAACAAACTTTAAAATCTGTGTAAAATTTATTTTGTTTTTTTGGGGGGGCTGGGGGGTGGAAAACTTATTTAGTGGCCATTTGTTCACCAGTTTCACCAGATAGGCGCACTAGCAGGCCCAGATGAGATGAAGCAATCCCACTTGATCCCACTGGTGTACATTTCTCAGTCGTAGCCATCACATAATCCTCTTTGAGTCTTCTTTTTTTCTTCTTCATGGAGCACCATTTAAAGCATGTGCAAACAGGAATAGAATTGCATGTTGTGGCTTGTCTAAATACTGTTTTTTTTTCTGTACTGTTATCAGTTAAAATTAGTTTTTCACTGCTTTAGAAATTAGATGTGTGGGAAGGTGGTGTTGGCTAAAGCCAACTCATCCACTCTTGTCCTAAAATGACAGCTTGTAGGCAATGTTTTATTTGAAGGAAGCACAGGTGAAAACTACACACACACACAATAAAATGGAAATTATACAAAGGTTTCTAATCAATCTATTACCTTTGGCATTTTTCACAGATCAAATGACAGAAAATGTTTGAGCAAACACACCTCCAAGGGGAAGTGGCCAAAGAAGTTTGTCATCCAGTGTTTTTACAATACACAAGTGTTGGATGCTTGACTTGGGATCAATTTAAAGAACAGATTTGTCATCCATGTGTCTGTAAAACACATCTTGAATACATTGTTGGTTATGCCAAGTCAAGCTTTCCTGTTGTGTCATCCTCCCTGCAGGACTCGGCTGGAGTCTTATTAGTCCATTTTGTGATGCCATGGTTTCTCACCCTCTTCACTTCCCTGCCCTGCTGGGATTCTGTTCTTGCTGTCTGGGACCTCATCATTTTACAAGGCAGGCAGGCACACACACAGATGTTAAAAAAAAAAAAAAATCTTTAAAAATGACAGTTCATTAATGCAGCTATGCCAGTGAGTATTTGTATGCATTTCACCTGCACTGAATTTTATATTCTCTTGTAATCCAAAGGAAGAACTGATGTTATTCTGTAACTTTGCAAGATGGACATTATTTTTAAAAAGGGTTTCCTCTGGATAGGCCTGCAAGCTGTGTTCCGAACTGCTCTGACCATCATCGAACTTCTGGAGCCTCGACTGATGGAGCTGAATGATGAAGAAACAATGTTACCCCTGTTATTAAGAGTACCAGTGGAGATGCAAGTGACATTTATTTTATAGCATAAAGAATCCAGGCACACATCGTTTACTGGGTGGAAACACAAATATGGAGACGTAATTTTATTTTGTTCTCTAAAATATGTTGCCTGAGAAACCCATTCAGAAATATCCCTCATGAATTATCTAAAAGAATGTGTCGTCTTTAGAAATGTGCAGCACAGTTTTTAGGCTCAACTCCAAATAGATCTATTCATGAATCTGTCAGGGTGTCAGAACTGGAGATGTTTAGATGCTGAGCGTTTTGGAAAAAACAAGATGGTGAATGATTCCGAGGAAGTCTTTTTTTTTTTTTTTTTTTTTTTTTTTAAGTTTGGTTGACATCCTTTTTGCTGCATTTGATCCTTCAATGGCAGTCAGAGCAGCTTTCTGTTTCAGTCTTCTATCTCTTGCAATGTTGAATGCAAGAGTCACATGGCGACTGACATGTTTGCTGACATGGAGCTGTAGTTATGGCAACTTGTAGTTATCCTGATTTATGAAGCATGTGTCTATGGAAGAACTGATGCAAGTTAATAATTAAGATCTAGTTAATCATCTTTGCATCAATATATGCTCCCTTAAGATGCTGCAGTTTTACCCATGCGAGGTTTTCATAGTTCCAGCATTTTGGATCATATTTAGTCTAAAGCCTCTGGTTTAATAAGTGCTGGTAACTTCGAGGAGCGTATCTAAGGTCATTTATTTTGGAAAATATCTTTACAGCTGCTCATCCTAAAATGCTAGTCATGTTTTTCCACCTTATATAGCTGAATTATGCAGATATTTGCTTTATCACATTTTGATCCATGTGTGAACCTCTTTTGCAGTTTGTTCATGCATAAATTAAGGCAACCATTCACAAACCGGTTTTGTTCTTGCTCTGGTTTTCAGTGGGCAGACTGCCACCACATCGCATTGAGAAGTCATTGTTGCCTTCTTGGCATTGTTGCGAAAGGTTGGTCAGAAGTCAACACTAAGTGGTATGACTGGACGGGATCTCCTTACACTGGGAAGATCCTGGGAATAGTACAAAATGATGAGGGGGGGGGAAAAAAAGGTTAAGTGCTGTCAGGTCAAAAAGCAGCAAGGAGATAAGAAATTGGGAGGGAGACTATCATCAGTCTCAGCTTTATTTTATTTATTTTTTCCTATCTCAGGCTGTGGCTTGTGTTCTTGCAGCATTGGGATATCCCTTTTCATGGTGCCTGTTTATGCAAACATATGTTAAACAATTGCATTAATTTATTGAGAAACAGAATGTCAATACCGATAAAAGTTGGACTTTAACATTTAATAAGACAGACATGTGACCTCAAAGGCAGTATGTAGGATCAGCAGACTATAAGCATTTGCACAAGATGAAGGAAGCTCAACAAACATTGGTGTGAACTTGATATCCAGTAATTTCTTGTTGTATTTGAACATGTTTGCAGTTTTAAACAAGTGTCACTTCTATATTATTGCACAAAGTCCTGAAATGCTTAAGGGAATTCTGTGTTTATGACAATTTTGGAAAATTCCACAATATATTATGAAATTAGAATCAAATCTCTTAGATGTTTACACTAACATGAACCAGTAGTGTATAATTTGCTGATTTTTCTTTCAGATTTTGTTTAATCAATTGTACATGTTATGTGGACATGCAGAGTATTAATGCAGAGCATTTAACCTTTACTTCTCTGAAACGCATTTATCTTTATCTTTTTTTTTTATTGTGTTGTCTCCTGCAAACAGTCCGATCTCTATTGGTCTCTGTCCCACGCAAGCCCTGCGTTTCCTTCCCACTCATCCCCTATACACTCTGTTTTTATTAGCTTATTTGTTTTTGTTTTTTCTATTCTAAACTTCTTTCTTTATAATCCCCATAACCTTCTTGTGCCATCCGTCCTCCCACAGTCTCTTTTTTTTTCTGATCCCCATGTCTTCTTCTGTGCCTCTTCTCATTCATTCATTTGTCCTTTTTGTGGTACTGATGCCTTCATTCACTTAAAGGATTTGACACATCATTTGTTTACGTCTCACTGGGAAAGCTGGCTTTGTTGAAAGCTCAAGTTTTTGTCACTTATTTAGATCTTAAAACTATGGATACTGTAGTTTATTTGTTGGTTTGATGTGTATTTTTTATAAGCAAATTAATAATTACCCCAGTTTTTCCACATGAAAGGGAGAAACGGTAGAAAAAAAAAAAAAACTTTTCGCAAATGTGATCCGTATCTTCATTAACACCTGATAACAGTAACCTACAAATTGGATGTTGGGGCTTTAACAGATCCAGTTTTGAAGAAAACAGTCCTAGGATGTTTTTAAGATTAATCTATATACAAGTATGGAACAAAATAACTAAAACATTGCTACAGTTCTATTGAAAAAGCCTTAAAGCCACATAAATTGTCAGGAAAACAGATACATCATTAGTCATTATTTAATAAATTCATTTGCAATCCACCAAATAGATTAAAAGATGATTTTACACATATCCACGTTAGCAAAAGTAATGATATAGAGGCTCACTTTGCACATACCTAATGATGATTTTTGTGCTTGGAACCACAACAGTGAAGCTATTTTGTGAGATTTTTTATTTTTTGGTTTGTTTGTTTGTATGTATGTTTGTTTTTCCTACATCTGTCTGTCATGGTCATGATTCTTACATTAAACTTCAAATATAAAAAGAAGAGTCAAGATGCAGAAACACTCTACAAAAAGCTATATGCCAAATGAATCAATTTCATGTAGGGATAACTGGTGGTAACAATAGTTATTTTCCAGAAATGGGAATTGGCAGATCATGCTTTTTAAGTATCAATGATTAGCCAGAACACTGCAATCAATGTTAGATATAAAAAATTTGCTAGTTGACAAATATTCTGTGAATAATTGGGAGTTATTTTCCAGAGGAAAATCCAGAAATAGGTGAATCTGTGAAAACTAAACTCACTGTAACATTTTTTATAATCAGCTCTGCATTCCTACTGTATCTATTTTCCCTACTTGTTTTAGTCTGTCTTGTGTGCTCAACTAAACCCATCCAGTAGCAAAAAAACATCCACTATAAATTTTCTTAAATGCATGCAAACACATATCAGCAATTTCCAGTCATATTTCTTAACCCCCATTTCTCTCTTCTCCAAACACATTTCCTTCTGCAGGGCCCGGTATACTGTACTGGTTTCTGCACTGTGGAAAACTGAGGTCCAGGACTGGGAGCTTAAATGCATGAATAGCTTGGTGCTGGATGAGAGCCACCATGAACCCGAAACAGGTAAAGTGAGGAAAAAAAGACATGCTAACACTGTGTGTTTTGTTCCCAGAACAAAAAGGACCATTTGAACCCTGTGCTGTTTATCGAACGCTGGTATCTTATTGAGGATAATTCACTTTAGCTTTGTTGTTTCACTGCCAGTTTTCTCACTCTCTAAGTGGTTGAATAATGGCTCTGCATGTTCCGGAGAACATTGCCTTAATTCACTTTTTTTCTAATCAAAAAACATGTTAAAGTTGATTAAAAAAAATAAAAAATCCTTCCAGCTTTAAAAATATCAATTACTTGTTATAAAAGTAATATTTCCAACAACTGAATTGATGAATACGAAATGGCTAGCAAGCATATAAAAGTGAATAACTAATACTCTAGAAACAAACTTTTCTGGTTTTGATTATATAAATGTATTATTTAAAAAAAAATAAAAATAAAAAAAGCTGCTCAAGGAAGCAGACTTTTTGTAGAAGTGACTCCTTCACAAAACCAGATGTAAAAAAAAAAAAAAGAAAAAAAAGAAGAATCTCATGTGCACATGTGTGTGTACAAGAGAGTCTGAGAGTGTAACTGGAAAGATCAAAGGAGCTGATGTCTTTTGAAGCTTGTTCAGATATCACCCACACACAATCTGGAAACCCCTCACCACCGGAGTCTGATCCTCTCTAAAGACACGTTGGAATGCAAGTGTCTTATGAACGTGCGTGTGAGAGCACACTGTGCACAGATGCTTCTGTGTGTGTGTGTGTGCGTGTGTGTGTGTGTGTGTTGGTGCATCCTGACAGGCTGAGAAAAGGCTAATAGATGAGTCACATGTTGGTGACTGCAGGGTATTAGTCTTGCTTGTGTGTTGCTTTCTTTTATTTGCTGAGCCTTAAAACTGAGAGCCCACAAACGGTTTGGTGTCTGGCTTCTCTTTAGGAAAACCAGACACTTTCCTAAAGAGACCAAAAATGCTGAAATCTACAGATCTGGATACATTTTAATGGCTCAAAACCATTTTTTTTACACTCTTGGGTTGTAAATTCAATTCAATAAAACTTTATTCATCCCAATGAGGCAGTGAAAAAGATGCTGAGAGCAACAGCGGCACATTTAAAAACAGACATGGCCACATAAAAGCATCATGCAAAAAAGAAAAGGATAAATTGCTGCAGATTTAAATGATGACAGTTAGCATGAGGATATCTGTTTGAGACAATAAATGTGTTTGAAGAAGAACGAAAGAACCTCTACTGTGAGTGTGCGAGTGTGATCGTTATATACTGGAGATAATCAATCACCATATATATATACACACACATACACGTGTGTGTGTGTGTGTGTCTCAGTGAATCGAGATGAGTCATCCTTATTTTCTGGCCTGTCAGACTGTCTAGCCCCCAAGACAGCTGGGAAAATTGAGCTGATTCATTTGGTGCCTACTGAGGCTGTTTTACTGCTTTCTCTCTATCAGATTTTCACTCACTCCCTCTATATTTTGTCATTTTCTAAAATAATTCTGAGTGCTTTTTACTATCTCTCATTAGTTTAGGTAATCAGCTCTTGGTGGTCCTTTTTCTTTAATCTCCACATTGGAGCATTTTCAATGAGATTGCACAGAAATTTTGAAACTTTCCTCTGGGAAATGTCTGAAATGCAGAGATGCAAACACTACCTCAGTTAAGTCCTGTTTTTAGCACCAAAAAGCAACATTGTCCATAATGAGAGATGAATGTGAAGATTTTATAGTTCTTTTTTTTTTTCAGCATTACTGTAAGGTTGCTTAAATGATCTGAGAAAGAGGGGGAAAAAAAGTCCTCTGTCAGGACCTGTATGTGAGGTCCTCTCATTACGTCACATTGTTTAATCTTGTCATGCTACACTGCGTCTGAAACGGCATCAAATGGTGGGAAAGAATTTCCTCTCCTTGCTTTTGAACAGGAGTAGCTTCTGCCGAACCTTTTGGACATTTTTGTTGTTTCTTTTAACTATAAGGCTGCTGAATCATCCAACAAAAACACAATCACGATGATTTGACAGACAGTTTTTGAATTTTATATTTTTTTTATTGCACTTAACAGGGACAGTCGTTTTGCTAAAATATTTGTTGTTTTTCTGAATAACATGTTTTATAGTGTAGCTAATTATTCTCTTCCTAAAAAGAAGAAATATAGAATATCAGCTTCTCCCATAAATGTAACACTTTCTTCCCACATCAAACCAACAGGAAGCTGCAGCATCCAAAATGATCCGTCTGTCCAAAGACTGTCATTATCTGTTTTTCGATCATAATTGATCATAATTATAGGATTACCACAGCAACGCATCAGTCCTCTCTAACTTCACCAAGAATGCAGTAAATCTTTGGATTTTGCACTAGATTGCATTGTGTAACAACATTCAAGATGGTCCAATTCAATAGTTTACAAGTTTCCTAGTTGTTAAAAAATTTGCTACTCAGACATATTGTCGACTTATGTGGCAAATCAGCTTATGAGGCAAATTGATGCAACCACTAAAAGACTGAATTAGTCCTTTAAGTTGGCACATTTTAGATACACTCTGCAGGCTACAGGTGAAATGTGAAGCAGCTGACTGCCAGAGCACATAGCCTGACTAATTACCCGTCCAAAATCAGCTTACATACTTCTGAGTTTTACTCTATAAAGAGCAGACTGGCAAAAAAGTAGATGATACTGGGGCCAATATGAACGTTCACTTGAAAATGATCAAATTACTGTTAAGTGTGAGTTTAGCAGGTGTTTAATTCAAATTAAATAAATATACCAAATGTCTCATAGATGACTGTAACCAATGTTACTTTTGCAACATAGATAAAAAGAAAAAAAAATATTTAATTGTACCAACTCATTCTTACTCGTCTCATTGCTCTTGTAAACTAGAAAAAAAAAACATTCTTAAAGGTCAAACCAGCCTGGCCTGCCGGTGCGTTTAGCGTTGTCCTAGCGAGAGCAGGCATTTGTTGCCTGTCCATATCAGAAGGCTGAGTCAGCATTTAAAGAAAGTTGATGTGATTTAAAATTATGCTTACTCAGGCTAAGAGGGGCTGAGAACACAAAGGCTTGTTCTTCTGTCCTCTAGAGGCTGCTTACCTCTTTTATTCTCCTCCTGTTTTAATCTGCACCTCCTTATCTTTCCACTTCACGACCCTTGCCATCTTTCTCCTTCATCATTCCTTTAATTTTTCAGAAAATCCCTTTCCTCTTTGATTTGACTGCATCTTTTTAATTCCCAGTGTGTCTTCCATTTTTCTGTCTCTTTTTTTAAATATATTTCTCTCCCTGTACTGTAGCAGATGCCAGGGACCCGTTCTCCTCAGCAGGCTCCCAGGATACCTGCTCCGTTGTCTTCCTGTCTGCCTTCTGCTTTGGCCTCAGTGCAGTCAGTGACTCAGCTTTAATTTCAACCAGTAACCCAAAACAACCTTCCACAGCCACTGCTGCATAATTAAGATGCATTTTACCATTAGCAGAGCGTGCAATATTTATATGCTTCTATTATGCATCTAGAGTGTGATTGATGGGTTAATCATAGTGACTTGATGACCAGACCAGATTCCCAAACTATTGTTGAAATGTAAGTGAATCACTGACAAGGGAGCCTACTGGTCTTGCTGAGAAAGGAAAGTACGTGAAGGAGTTTTTTTGCTATCATAATTATACTCTTTCTTTCACTCTTCACACTCTTATGCAAGGCTGGTACTCATTAATGCTCAGGTTGCTGTGGGCCAAGGACATCTGTTTTGCAACTAATTATGAAGTCATTAAATCAAAATCCTGTTTGGTGCTTGAATTTCAGCATTTGCATGAAGTTACCTAACATCTTGAGTAGTTACATCACCAACACAACAACCTAAAGAAACGGCACACAGATAAGAAAACTACTATTCTTACTTAATTTTGATATTAAAATTAAGTACTTCTTCTGTTTATATAATGTTATGGAATAAACTGCCTAATCCATGAAAAGGCAGCTGGCATCATTGTTTTTATAGCTAATTAAAACTCAGAACTTAGTTACTTGGGCAATTAGAGAAGGTGGTTTGGCTCCAATCCAAGAAGTCATAGGTGGTCACAACAAAATTTAAAATTATGATGAAATTTATTTTCCCATATAGAATACAGTAACTTAATGGTTTTAAAGGAAACTGGATCAGCCCTCACGCTCATGCAGTCAGAATAATTTTGGTCAAATTATTCTATTTTAGAAATAGAAGCATTTGCATGTTTTGAAAGCCGACTGCCTTGGAAATGTTTCAAGAGTTTGCAAATAGAAAATGGCAGCAGGATAGCAACATTCTACCATGGTTAGGTTTAATAATAACACACACACACACACACACACACAAAAAGAAACATTTTCTGGTGTTCTAACTTATGTCTGCTTTATTGACAAAGGTGAAGATTATTTTTGTTCACATTTTATTTTTCAAGCCTAAACTATTCCAGAGATTACATTAACCAGAATTAATTTCTCACTGCTTTTTATACAAACTTTTGATTTGAAAAGTACTTTGGTAAAGTTTTCAGTTCTTTCTTTTTCATCCCTCTCCATTTCATTCCATCTCGCTGTTTACAGTACTTTGACCTCTGCCCATCTGCCTCCCTCAGACACATGCACTGCTTTATGTATAATAAAATGCTTGTGCATATTTGTGTGTGTGTGTGTGTTACTGTCCTTGTGGGTCCCTGAACCGTATCAGAATCCATCTAGAATCGCTTAATGAGCTGCTTTTATTGTCACTTTCCTCTCTGGTATCATGATAAATGATTCAGGCTCAGAATAATAACTTTGCTGCTCTGTGTGTTTTCATACATGGGGAATAGTTTTCAGGAGAAAACATTTTATTGTTTAGGTTTTAAATGAACATGGTACATGGATATCAGTGCTATCTTGACAAAATTTTGGTAATATACCATTGTTGAAACTGAATTGTATCCATTAGTCCTGCAGGAATGTGACCTATTTAACCTCTAAGGGTGTTAGGCCTACTTATGACCCTC